GTCGCGAAATCGGAATCGCCGATCTCCGATCGCAGCGGAAGTTTCTCGATATTTATGTATATGGTGAAATATTAATTTGGCGGGACAAGTACGGGAATATACCAATCTTTGATTTTGACAAGATACGCCCTTAGCGGCGGAAGTGTAGCATTAGCGATGCGTATTCGCGATTGAACGATCGCAGTTATTAAACGCATTGGAATAGTATAAGTTAATGTATTTTTCTCTCTTAACGTAATATGAGCGACGAGTACGCAGAACTTTGCAAACCAACGTTCGATCCTGAAATCAGGAAACCGATCGTGAAAATCAGCAAACCGCTCGTAAGAAATGGGGATCCGTTCGTGAGAAATAGGCATCCGCGACGCGTCGACTTAACGAGATATCTGATTCGTCGTGAAATCGGAATCGCCGATCTTTGATCTCAGCGGAGGTTTCTCGATACTTATGATAACGCTGAAACATTAATGTGGCGGACTGAAGATGGAGATTTTTATTTTGATATAGACGCGTTAGCGGTGCAAATGTAGCATTAGCGATACGTACTCGCGAATGAACGATCGCCGTTATCCATCGTCCGAGGAATCGGACGACAAACTGCGCTGTCGCGAGCCCATGCCTAAGTTTTCGTCCGATTCGGACGACGAATCGGCGAGAGTCGAAGCACCGTTGTCGTCAAACGCGTGCGCGTCGGTGGTGAAGGAAGACGCGCGATGGAATCTGGCTACCCATCATCTGCAAAGAGAAATCGGAGCGCGAACTAATCGCGAGCGAGAGTGGATAGAGACGACGGTGGCAAACTCCGTTGGGCGAGCGATTATACGCGTTGCCTGCCGCTCGAGTATTATCTTTATTACGAGACGGTGTACGGAGGAGAGATGATACGTCGGATTCAATCCGTTGGACGCGGCGTGTCGAGAGCACGACGTCGCGTATTTGCGAAGCGGCGAGCTCGCCGAGCGACACGTCGCCGATCGACGGCTCGCCGAGAGGGCGCGCGAGCGCGTCACCGCGAGGGATTCCACGGCCGGTGAGAGACTTGCCGCGGCGGCCGTATGGGCGGCTATGAAGACGAAGACGAAGCTGGGCATGGGTATGGAACGCAAAAGGAAAACGAGAAAAGGAACACTGACGTATATTTAGCAAATAAATTAAAAATTATTGAAAATTAACTAACCCAATCGTTTGGAAATCATTTGGAAATATTTGGAAAAAACTTTTCAGAGTTTGGAAAACCATACAATAATCACAATTAATTAAAATCAATTAAGCGTATAATTAGCAGAAAGTTTCTAAAAAATATTGTTTTTTAATCCAATTGCTCCAGAATTATTTGGATAAAGTGTCGATATAATTTTTATTATTTAGAAAACAACTGTATTTTAATAAAAATTAATTAAAGGTCAATATTTCGTTTTAATGTCTGCACTATAGTGCGATAAAGTGCACATACTTCTCCTGACGACGAGTGGCAAGACTGGCAAGAAATCAGCAACCTAACCTACAGTTTGCTCATAAAATTCTCGTAAAATGTCTGCAATTAAAGTTACAACTAGAGGTGGAGCCAATATTCGCGAGTCTTGCATTATACGATGTCAGAGAAAAGAAAAAGGTATATTTTTTATCATTGAAATTACAACTTCAAAAATGCATAATGCTAATTACAAATTGTTATATTTCAGGTGTCCGAAAATTTCTATGTCGACATGAATTCAGAAAGATTGAAAAGAATGCTTGGAGGACACATCGCTTATAGCGATGTAAATACCTTAACTAGAAAATGCGTTTTGAGCATCAATAAACCCAGTCCCGATTTGTTTCTTGTCGTACGGCTCGAGAAAGTATTGCAGGGCGATATATCGGAGTGTGCCGAACCATATTTACGCAAAGATAAAAATAAAGATAAGGTAATAAAATGTTAAAATAAAATACTGATGCATTCAAAATGGCAATTTCTCATATTATTGTCTTATTCATTTCCGTATAGGTAGCTGCTACAGCTGCTGCGTGCGAATGCCTGGGTCGTTATAGAATGCCTCTCGCGTGGACTGCAATTTATCTGTCTGGTGTAATCGGATGCGGTGGTGATACGGATAGCACTGCTGGATTTTTAGACAGAAAGTCGGGCGGTCTGGAACAGTGGCGAAAGAAAGTGGAACCGCCGACGCGACGTGGTTCGCTAGAAAGACGGAGTTTGGATAAAAGACGTAGTTGGTCGCCGGACGATTTTGCCAATTGCCTCGATAGCTTTAGGTTTGTATAATGCTGCATTTTCCTATTGAAAGGCTTAACTAACATCTTGATATTCTTATAGGCCCATTATTTTAACAGTCTCGAGCTTCTTCAAGCAGGAAAGCGAACGACTTCGCGATGAAGATTTTTATAAGCTTTTGGTTGAACTACGAAGACCTGGTTCCAACTTGAAACGATTAAAATGCTTACCGGGGATTTGAAATTGGATCTCAGTCCCAGACTCGAAGAACTACCGAGGTGTCTTGATCCCGACCTTAGAAGATTAGTTCCATATCCGGTTGGAAAGAATTGACCGGTTAAGGAGATAGTCTCGAGTTTACAGACGAAGTTGTTTCGCCCGATTTAACATATCGTAATTTTCTAGATCTTTATCCCAAGGTGCATATCGAATAAAATTGTACGATCATTCTTGTTGTAGATAGTAGAGCCATTTGGCGAATAAATCAGGCGATCAAGCCGGTTCTCTACAGGAGTTATATGATAAACAAGTCAGAAAATTGGTAGATTACGTTGTTTGGTCCCAAGAGGAAGAAAATCATCGCGTTAATGAGGTGCTACGACTGGGCAAGGCAAAGACAACAACGAATTTGTTTGGAATTGAAGGAAGCTTTAAAAAGTTTGAAATCGATTGATTAAATAGATTAGACTGAGGAATTAAGATTGTGCATTCGAGAAGAGAGGAGTCAGCTTTTATAAGCGAAATTATTTATAACGATTTTTTGCTACTCGCCTAATCGGATCGAGAAGGCGTTTCTCGCGGTCTCGACGGGAAAAAGATTAATTGTGAAAGACTAATACGTTACGTTAGGAAAAAATAAAGTAGAGATCACACATTATAAGAATAAATCTCGCGCTTTTGTAAGTATTCGGAAATATAATATATTTGGAAGTTCGGTCCCAAAACCCGGTGGGGATTTCAATTCCGTCGTGTAACGCAGCGTCGTGATTTAGCATAGTCTAATCTACCTATTTCAACGTAGGAATTACCATTTTTCTTTTTGGTATTTACTCTGCTGTGACGCAATAACCAAAAACTTTAAAGAACGGAGGAGAAAGAATTTAAACTTTTCGAGAGTTTATATATATATATATATATATATATATAATTTTATATACGCTAAACGGAAGCGTTCGTGTGCTACGTGCAGTGTGAGGATCGTTCTGTAGCCGATAATTCTCTTTGTTTATTTTATTGTGTAATTAGCGTGAGAAAATGCCTCACTTTAATAAAACATGAGACAATCGCAGAATTATGCAAGGAAGATTGTTATCAAAAAGTACGGTTCCTTGCGTGTAAAAAGTTATTTTATTTCCGTTATAACGGATTTAAGGCTTCTGTTAATGTCTCCTTAAAATGTCGGAACCGAGAAATCGCCGGGATTCTTCTCTTGGGAAGACAGAAGCCTCGATTCGGATATTACTTTGCAATTCAAAAATCGAAAAATTTGCAGCGGACAAGCTATTGTTACCGATACGCTTGTAACTCTGGTGTTTATGAAACGAAAAATCTTGATACTGCCGAAAAGTCCAAAAATGTATATCAATTCTCTCCCTGCGATATTGTTAATATCTAATTAATTTGGCTACACGTGTTCACGAACAAGGAACGTGACTTTCTTCGCACATCGTCAAACTTTACTGCACAATGTCTAGGACACTTACGTTCATTTTTAAGTTTTTACACACAATTTAATATTTATTTACACTTTACGTCGGTTAAATTATATATATATTTATATAATTTATTTATAAATAAAATTTGTCATTTATATATAAATTTTATATACATATACATACATAATTGATTTCTATCGTCTCTAACTAACTGCGCAGTAACGTAATAGTACTATAATGTATTATTGTACCTTGTCGTTTATAATAATAAATCAGTAAAGTCAGAGACACATACGTTGATAATTGTCTTTCTCTTTTTTTTACCCTCTCGGGTACGATGAAGAGGGAACGTCTACGAAAACTGGATGTATAGTAATAAAGATCGTATATAGTAATCGACTGCGTCGATCCGGTACTAATCTTTTATTATTCCAATAATAATAATAATAATATATGTAGAAAAATGTGATCACTGAAACATACACATTATGTATCTCCCGCCGGCCTCGCAGGTTCAGAAAATTGTACTAAATACCAATTGCATATACACGCACACACGCGCGCGCGCGCGCGCACACACACACACACACACACTCTCTCTCATACTCGAGTCTCCTTGTAAAAGTTAAAAATCTTAGCAGTGCTCGACGAAGGCCCACGCTCGCCGATTACATTTTTTCCTCCTTTTTTTTCTTCTCCCTTTTCCTCTCATCACACTATTCATTTACATTGCTATTATTCGTATTGCGAGTGATTGCGAGCGGCCTATCATGTAATCTTTTTTTTACTCGTGGAAACATACATATTATCGTATTATCAATATTTCGTAGTCCAGTCTAAAATCAATCACGGCTATGATCTAGCTAGAGCGTATATATAACTAGTTCTTCCCTTCGCAATTATCAATATAATAATATCATTGTCCTGCTGTTGCGTGTGGTGGTGTAATGTGTGTGTGTGAGTGTGTGTGAACAATGATGCACCTATTACATAATAAATAACAGCGTGATAACGCTACTTCCACAGAAATTAGCGCGACATGTGGCGTAAACATAACGGGAGAGTAAAAACGAGAGATCTGTTCTGCTATCTTTTCCGTTCTAGCGTATCGTGAGATTAAAAAGTAATGTTAACAGCATTGGATCTAATTGGAAATAGATCTCACCCTGAAATTTTTTCTCGTTCGGTGATACACAGCCATTTGCATCTTCTTGATCTACCTAATTAAGATAAATCGCTTTCACTTCCTGCTTATCACAAATACAATAATTTTATCTCCAGCACTAGATACCTCGAAATCTTGTCTAGGTGTATCATGAAGCAATCTGTCTCTGGCGATAGATGAGATTCTATCTTTGTATTTACGATATATTACGACCCAGTCTGAAGAAAACTCTCAATGCATCTTTTCACATAAGGCGACACGGTATCACTGAAAGCCAAATGATCAAAATGAAGAATGGATGCCCAGTTTTAAATAACTGTATTGTAATAGCGTTTCGACTATATTTTTACATTGATTTGTGCGATACTACTGGCTCCTCTGTTCGAATCTTCCTCTTTATGACTCTCAATTTGACGTCTCTCGGTGGAAAATCTAGTATTGGTTTTAAAGGATCGCGGTCCAGCACTGACTGATGCTGTCCCAAGAATTCCTCGTAATCAAGTGGTTCTAATACCTCGTACAGGGACATCTGCATATAAGAAATTAAATATTAATTTACTCCAAGATTATTGGCAATCTCTTTATATGCCAGTTTTTCAAAGAAGACTGCATACAGTAGAAAAAAATCCTGATACACTGCTCAACAAGAATAGAAAGAATACACAATAATAGGAAGTAGAAGTGGCAATTTGTCGCCTCACATCGGCAACATGCTGTTTGCTTAACTTGCGAGAAAACGCACGCTGGACCGAAGACATTATAAATGTCCCAGCAAATTAATCCGACGAGATTCTGTAACTGTTAAATGCCATATCGAAATATTACTTAGTTGGTTATGTTCTCAGTTGAATGTGATACGTACAAAAATGATGTAAGTTTAAAGATACTGCGTGTATTGTGTATGTTGCTTTATTGCAAGGTATATCAAATTTGCATAATAAGAAGGAAATAAATATGATACATTAATAATTAATGTTACAACAAACAGATATGGACAGATATAAATCTGACAAAACTGCAAATAGTTCTAGCTTTTAAATCCAAATTAATTAATCATTAACAAACAGATATGGACAAATATAAATCTGCATTAATTAATTTGAATTCACCCGGGACACTTTTAAAAAGTGAAGGGCAGTTTTCCCATGCTACCGGGCGCGTCCACAGGTTGCGGATAGTGGAACGTCCAGGGAGGTCTCTCTGGACAGTCGTGAATAACAATCAGAGACTTGTCTCTGAGCGGAATAAGCGATCGCGGACAAGGGAATCAAAAAACCCGAAACCACAATGGAAGAGAGTGATATAAATAGATATACCCCAGGAGGTAACCCAGAAATGGGGAATCCTTCCACTTCCTTGGAAGTGGCTGAGCTCCGATCGGATTCTGGGGGGGGAGCTCAATATTACTCGATTCGGAGCCGACGGTGGAACACTTGGCTGTCGGAACCACTCTACAAGCATCAAGTGGAAAAATGGTGATTGCTACTCCTGCGGGCGGGGCGAGTCCGAGGAGCATCTCTTCCCGGCTGGAGAAAGTACAGATCGACAGGGCGACCGATGACGAGCAATCGCTTAAGGGTGGCAGTGTTGACTGTATGGACTCCGACGTCGAGAGGGATCTTCTTGACTCAGAGGCCGACATAGCTTGCCAGGAGGAAGCAAGATCCAAAAAGAAAGAGATGACGGCAGCTCAAAAGGCTAGGAAAGCCTACAGAAATGCCCTGTCATTTCTAAAAAAGATGGATAACAAGAAGGATGAGGAACTGACCACCAGGGACAGGGACCTCATCAAACTAAACAAGAAAAAGGTCTCCAAATTTGAAGCCGAACAACAGCAACAAAAACTGGAGACAATCACCGAAGAAAGAGAGGTAGCAAGGACTAAGCCGGCAAAAAAGCTACAGAGGGCCAACGCTACGGTGGAATCTCCAAAGCCGGACAAACCCAATTTGCCACCTTCCGAAAGGAAAACGGTAAAGAGGGTGCGATCGGGCGACGGAGAGGAAAGCGAAGCAAAAAGGGTCAAGCCCTCGATAAGCTTCGATTCGCCCGAGGACTGTCGGATTGCCATCATAGATCGTTCTGATCCGGATGGCAGGATGACGGCCGAAAGGTGGATGGAGGTGGAAACGAGGGTTCTGCTGGCCATAGCCGAGCTGGATGGAGATAGTTGCGGGGAGGTTGACTTCGACGGGGCCGGCTGGCAGAAGGGCGTCAAAGTTGTTGGATGCAGCAACAGAAAGTCA